GTTTAAATTCAGCCAAAACAGAATCATTTTTGTTTTGTTTTATTTTTTTGTTTATTTTAATAATTGTCTATTTTTTTTTTTTTTTTGACATTTCGGAGTCTGGTCTCCGTTGTTTTCTTCTGGTTTGACGTGGTCTGATCGTCGCTGGGACTCGCCGGCTCTGCTATCTTTTGTTTTTCCTGTTATAATGACTGTGGTAACAGTCAATACAACAGGAAAAAACAACGTCTTTTCGGGGCATATACGTCGTCTTATCTATGTATATCTACCCTTAGCTAGATATATATAAATAAGAAAAAATACATTGATCTTTCCCTCTGTAGGCCTATGTATACGTATATGTAGATATATCAGAAAAATATTTAGAGGCTAAGATATATATATATATATATATATATATATATATATATATAGTTACTTACTTGCTTACCAGCATATATGTTGATAAATATATATCTAAAAAATGTTAAAATATATATGGATTTGATATTATGGCTCTTAAATAAATATTTAATTACATATGGATAACTAAGATATATACATATATTTTATACATATACATAAATATATTTGTTTATATTCACGGTCTCTCCCTCTCTCTCACTGTCTTTCATTTTCACTCTCGCCCTCTCTCTCTCAATATATATATATATATATATATATATATATATATATATATATATATATATATATAATCAAGAAAAGGCAAAGTTTAAGACTTTTTACAGACAAACTTGTTAGTCATTACATTTTTGTTATAATTTTTATTAGTATTAGTAGTCGTAGTATTAGTACAACCATTACAATTATTATTATTATTATTACATATTTGTATATCTATATGTAGGTAATTAATTATTTAAAATTATATGTGAATTTATATTGATATATTATGTTAGAAAATTGAAATATATATATATTTATTTGTTTAGGTCAATGAAATTATCGACATTATATAAATGTTTATGCACAATATATAATTATAGGCATTTATTTCTGTTTCGTATTTCCGTAGATGTTTTGCGTTGGACGTAAAATTATGAAGGCCATTTACAAGAAATTACATTGATATATGGCAAGACGTTGTGAATAGAAAAATTGGTTATATTTAAACGTGCGCAGTTAACATCCTGTGAATATATTTTGAGAAATATAACACACACACAAACACACACACACACACACATATATATATATATATATATATATATATATATATATATATATATATATATATATATATATATATAGATAGATAGATATATACATATATATATATATATATAGTTATTTATTTAAAAATTATAACATAAATATGTTATAAAATTACGACAAAAATAGACATTTTGTTTCAACACCTCCGTTGTTTTCATATATATATATATATATATATATATATATATATAAGCATTTTTCTCTTTTTATCATAGGTGCCCTATTTCATTATAAATTAATTACATAGATCTTTAAATCCATTAGCGTATATCTAAATAAATAAATAAATTCATAAATAAATAAATATATAACATATCATATATATATATATATATATATATATATATATATAGATAGATAGATAGATGGATAGATAGATAGATAGATAGATAGATACCTTCATACATACATACATATAAACATACAATTTTTCTTCTATTTTTATCCACAAAAATAGTTTATGCTTATATAAAACTTTTGTGATTTTTCCCGCTTTTACATATATGTGATGAGTAGGAGTTTATCGGAATAATTTTCTGTATACTGCAACTTAGCCTTTTTTTCTGATATATCTTAAATTAATAAATTAATATACATATATATGATAAATTAATATATATATATATATATATATATATATATATATATATATAAATGATAAATTAATATATATATATATGATAAATTAATATATATATATTTATATATATATATATATATATATATATATATATATATATATAAACACACCTTTTCATCAAGTCCGTGTTTTTCGATTTTATGTTTGACCAAAGTGCAGAATAAATTTTAACTCATTTGCTAAAAAAAATACCTAATTTTAGATTGCAAGCGAAGTTCTATTGTCCACATCGCAATTTTAGAAAGCATATTTTGAAATGCTATTTTAACAGATTTAACGCAAAAAAATTAAATTGCATTTTAATTCTTTCTTTTCCTCCCTAAAGAAAGATCTTTGACAGTACCAATTAATTAGTTTTTTTTTTCTTTTGCAAATTAGGTATTTTAATTCTTTTTTTCATTATGTTCTTCTTTTGACTGTGTACGAAAAGAAGACAAACGACAAAAAAGAAGACAAAAAAAAAAAGATAATATGTAAGCCTACGAAAGAAAGAAACAAAAAACGTTTTCTTAAAACTGACCACTTGTCAGTTACTTAGCTGCTTGATTATTTTTGTTTTTTTTTATTTTTTTTTTACTGGCGCGAAAATTTGAATCCCTTGATTTCCGACTATTCAACTTCCGGAAGGAAAGAAAGAAAGATAGGCTTATGACTTTAAATTAGCCTAAAAAAATTCCCTCAAACCTTCAAGTATTAATTTTTAATTGATTTTCACGGAGGTTTAATTACTTCAAATGGAAAATATCTTTCAAATGGAATAATCTCCGAGAATGTAAGTATAATCTAAGGTTTTTAACGTGCCTTAATATTCAATATATACATTGATTTATTGCTCAGTTTTTGTTGTTTTCTGAAGAGTTATGCCCCCTGAACAATATTACAGTCCTATTTTATAACTTTCTATATTTTAATGATTTTTTTTTTGTTTTTTGCAAACTGTTTTTGAAATATGCTTGTTATCCGTATAATTTTCTCAATGGACTTCACATAATCTTAATTTTTGTGATGTCAACGAACACTCGTTGCTATTTTTGTATTTTAATATTTATTTTTATATTCTAATACACGCTGTCACTTCCGTAATGCTCATTGTAGTAGAGACTTTGTAATCGCTGATACAAATATAGTACGCCATTGAAAATTGCTGGTTTCAGAGGTCTTCGAATAGCAATCGCACTAATATTACTTGCTCGATAATACTCGCTCGAATAATAACCCGCGTAGTGATCCGAATAGAGAAATAGTATACTGAACAGCAGTCCGTATAATGATAGAGGATAGACTAGAAATAGCGATCGTTACTCGTCACGATAATTCCCATATATATATATATATATATATATATATATATATATATATATATATATATATGAGGGTCAAGCAGAACAATTCCAAGGAAACCGACAGCCCGACAACAGCACATGACATTTGATTATAGTGGTGAGGGTCTCGTGCAGGACCATCGACATTTTTTGAAGGGCCAAATACAGACCTGGTGCACTACGTGCCACAAGGTACACAAACGACCCTCCGCAGGTTTTGAATTCAGTGTTATCCTTCTCCTAGACCAGTTGCCATCCAAGGCTATAGAACACAGTCTGCCCTGTTATTTAGCCATAGCTGGAGGGAGAAGAAGAGGATTCATACCTTTCCCAAGGGTATTAGAACGTAAGTGAATGTAATGGATTCGACTGGAAGTCGAACTCGGCTCTCCGATTCCTCAATCCTAGCCACTATCCATTACTCCACCATGCCTCCTCTCTCTCTTTATCTCTCTGTCAATCTCTCTGTCTATCTATCTATAAATATATATATATATATATATATATATATATATATATATATATATATATATATTTATATATATATATCGTCTATGGTCACGTTGATATACTTAATTCAATAATGGGATCACCATTGTTTACTCTAAAATAATCTATGTTAAACTAAATTATTGGTAGCGACACTTTATTCCTATATAACTCTTTATAAGCATCTTTTTCCCCAGCTCTAAAAAAAATTGTTGCATATAAAACAGGATGTACAAAACTGAGTAAGGGCTATCTATATTATCGGTCTTGACCTGGCATCTTGGCTTCAGACAATTTCCCACCACCGTAACGTAGTTTCCCCTGTCTTTTCTATAAATATTTTTTAGGTAACTGCTCTGATGAACTTTCCTTTTCTTTAAAAAAATGTTATTTTTATTCCCCCTCACTCCACCACAGACAAATTGAACCTATTAGAACCAGTTAGAATGACATAGAGACCTGAGGTATTATGGTGACTGTCGTAAAAATGGTAAGAGCCTTTTCTTTCTTTTTTTTTTCTTTTTTTGGTATAAGGAATACTGTGGTATGTTTAGGTCAGTAATTGTAGCTAGCTAAGTCTAAGATAAAACAGATTGGAAACCAGCCTTCCTCTCTCCCCTTGTGCCACTTTATTTTTATTATTCAAAATAAATATTTTATTTCCTCTTTTTAAAAGTTGTTATTTGTATTCCTCACAACCCAGAGGCAGATTGTACATATGGGAACTAGTTAAGACTTCATAGAGACTTGAGGTATTATGAGGACTGCAGTAAGAATGGAAAGTAAGAATATGTTGTTTTCATGTAAGGAACACTGTGATACACTTGGGTCAGTAATCATGGCTAGTTAATTTTAAGATAAGACAGATTGAAGACCAGCCTTTAGTTTGGCAGCTAGGTCTCATTTTTTTTTTTTACTGTTCAAATTGTTAGATTATGGAACTGACGTCTGGCTTTCCAATCAACTTTGTTCTTCAAAGATTTAAAGGCAATATCAATCGTTATTTTCTGTCTTCTAAATTCCTGTTCTTTTATTGTTCTCTGTCCATAATGTCTTTCATATTCTTTCCAATTCATCAATCCTTTGCGTCTTAGTGGCTTTATTACCCTGCTTGTTTATTAAAAAAATCAACGATTTTGTTTTATGAATTGCACTCAACAGAGATAAAACGAACAGTCCTTGCGTAAGATATGGTAAACTATGTCAGTAAAAGAAGACATTGAATTCACTCTCCGCTACATTGTATGTATCCTCAGGATTCATTGATTTTTTCGTTTTTACGCTTTATCAACCCTTTGCAGATTAATTGAAGACAGAATTTTGGGATAATGATTTTCTGATATAAATCCTACGAATTAACACGAAGCACGGGAAGAAAACGTAGATTCATACCTTTCTCAAGGGTATGTGCGCGTAATATATAACGAACTCGACTGGATTTCGAACTCGGCTCTCCGATTTCCAATTCCGACCTTAACTATTGAACCAACCGCACTTCAAAGCTTACAGTACCTGTTATTTTCAAAGCTGTCACTCACCGAGATACTCAACATGCTCAACGTTGCTCAACTTCGATAATCGTACAAGAAACAGTATTTCGACGTGGATATCTTCAGGAAGAGAGAAAACAAAAGAAACAGGCCCTTACCAAATCTTATAAATGTCAAAAATCACATATTGTTGAATGAATTGTTGCTATACCTTCTCAAAAACCTATGCAGGTGCCATTTCCAAAGACTATTGGTTTACTCTTTCTTTGGATTCTACAGACAAGTGTAAACGCAGAAGCAGGTAAAAAATCTTCATAACAACCACTCTAGCCTCGTAGAGATCTACGCTATGACATTGAATCTCGAAACGCAGGGAGGCTTACTCACATTTACTATATAATCACCCAATGATAGTGGCCCCAATCAGTGTAAAATATAATTTGACCTTATTTTTATACTCGGACATATAATATATATATATATATATATATATATATATATATATATATATATTGTCTTCTCCATCAAGACATTCATTTCTGTAGTTCACTGCTACCAGCAAGCAGAATTTTCTTTTCTCCTGATGATGGCCATGTTGGCCGAAACTAGTCGCGGAATCTAAATGAAAGAATAATAAAAACGAAAGAATATTAATATCCAACCCAGTGTGTTTGAAGATTTTAATTTTTAATATTTTTTTTAATATTTCTATCGTCCAACATATATATATATATATATATATATATATATATATATATATACTTTCAGTCTCATCTATGGTCGTATTCAGGTCTGAATTACACAGATTAGCGCAATTGATAGTTGCGGATTATTTTGTAAATGCGCATGAAACGCGCTCTGTTCTATTTTTCTATGTTGTCATTTTTTATGTTAGGCTACATCTCAGAGCAGATATGATAAATCGAAAAAAGTCAGCGGAGGTATGTGTTTAAAGGAGGTGATTCGAGTACTTATATTATTTACATTATTCGGACTGTTATCCTTATCTTCATTGACATATTCACAGCGTTTCTGACATTGTACGTTCCGGTCTTTTTCAGATTATTAGAATTTCAAACCAAACACTTTATTTCATCCACTGGAGTAGACTGTTCAAATTCCACATTCCATGCCTCTTCCGAATGTCTCAATTAATTCAGTTAAGTTTTTAGTTTCACCACTTTATTCAAAGAATAAATCTTTTTTATTTTTAGGCATGTGTCCATTGTCGAACAAAAGTAGGTTAGGTTTTTAATTACGACAAATTCTAAAATTTTCACTTTTCCAATGTTAACAATCTGTAAATCCGTGAAAATAAAATATAATTTTATTTAATATATTATATATTTAAACCCATCAATAAATATATATATTCATGTTATTTGTTTTAACCAATATAGACAACCAAGTTTTGTCTATTTATTTTATGTAAATTTTTTCATATGTCTGATAAGTTTAATAACATTATCATTAAAAGAAGAAAGAAAATCAAATATTGATACATATTTTTTAATCTATCTAATCTATATATATATATATATATATATATATATATATATATATATATATATATATATATATATATATTATCAAAGATGACAATTACATTTGTCAATATATTAAACAATACACGGACAAAAATGTAATGATAGTCTGTTTTTTTTGTTTTTTATGGATGATTTCAAAGCAACGATAAACACACGTGCATATAAGACGCTGGAAGAAAATTGCACTGCAGCTCGATGACGTCACACATGACCACGCGAGAGTGAAAACGAGAGATTTAAGTATGTGAAGCCGTTGGTATAAACCAATGGCTTCTTTCACCAATTATAGGCATTAAAAATATTTGTGGAGATTTCATAGTTTATTCTGTTCAGGTTAGATTTCAACTATTTTATGTATATAGCTTCAAGAATTTTTATTTTTTGTTTATTGTTTAAATGTTTAAGTATAGTTATGTTTTCAACATATTTTACAAATTTGTATTGAAAATATTGTTGTTTTAAATCATAAAATATTTAAATTATTTTAATTTAATATTAAACAAAACAGAATATGAGCATTTTGTATTTTTGAACAAAATTATTATTAATCCAAATTAAATTTTTAAAATAAAAATGTTAATTATTGTTTTGTCTGTGTATTGTAAATATATTTAAACATCGATCAAATGTATTTGTCATCTTTAAAATTTGTATTTTAGCAAATATATGATATATATAAAAAATATATATATTAAAATATTTTCTTTTTTCGTTTAATGATTTTTGTTATTCAGTTTTATCAGAAATATAAAATGATTGTTTTTATTTAAAATAAATTTTGCAACACTTTTTATATT